TTTTTTTTTTTTTTTTTTTTTTTTTTTTTCTTTTTCTCTCCTATTAATAATATTGTTGTTTTTACGTGAATATCGTCCTTCTATTTCCGTATTTAGTAATATTTAGGGCTGTCTCTAGGTTCATTTGGCACCTGGAAGCAAGTTCGACTTCCAAAAATACATTAAGAGGTCCCTAGAAGATGACTTTAAGACTGTTGTGGGAGTGAGGTATGCTTTATTAGGTTTGTAAACAAATCAAATTTTTTTGATTCGATTCGATATTCGTGATTCGAATTCGAATTCTAATATGAATAAGGTTTTATATTCAAAAGTTAAACGAATCCGAATTCGAATATGAATAAGGTTTTATATTCAAAAGTTAAACGAATCTGAATTCGAATTTGTAGATATTTGATTCGAAATTCGAATATTCGATTCGTTAACAATAATTTATAAATAATATATAGTATACATTTTGTTTATAATATATATGTGTATATAATGTTATATTCCTAATATTTTTATGACATAAAAAGTAAAAACATCCTAAATTAACAAGTTTCCCTAAAAATATACGGACATAAAAATTATTTTTGTAATTATAATATTTTTTAATTACAATATTTTTCTGAAAACGAATTTCGAATCAAATCGAATATGTTCGAATATTTTAAACGAACCGAATACGAATAGAAAAACGAGTTCGTTAACGAATCGAATACGAATTCGAATCCTTGAATATTTTAACGAATCCAAATCGAATATCTTAGTATTCGCTTTAATTCGATTCGTTTACAACCCTATGCTTTATTATTCAAATGCAGTCTTATGACTTGAGATTTAATCGCCATTTCTAAGCGGACCAGATTATATACATTGCTGATTTTGCTTTCGACTTTGTTCCTATGATGACAGTCCTGTGTTGTGGGGATCATTTGTAGTGTTCTTGCTCTTAAACGTTCAAGGTTAGTCACTGTTTTACGAGTTGAAAAGTGAATCCAGGTCACCCTTTCTTGATTTATTTATTTATTTTTTTTTTTTGGAAAAAAAAATATTATCTGATGTATTTCTGTAAATTGGTCCTCACCAGGGTGGCAGACATTGTTTTGGGCATCTTTAATTCCTTTAATTGTAAGATCCTCGTCACTGTAATGATTTCGATTATTATTTAAGAAAAAAAAACCAAAAAAACTAATGATCAAATGCCCTTTTCAGTTAATCTTAGCCGTCGGTACAAAGCTACAAGCTATTCTGACGAAGATGGCCCTTGAGATAACCGAGAGGCATGCGGTAGTCCAGGGCATACCTCTCGTGCAAGGTTCTGACAAATATTTCTGGTTCGGTCGGCCTCAGTTGGTTCTTCATCTTATACACTTCACATTATTCCAGGTATTTTATGCTGTTTTAACGGCTAACCAAAATGCTTAGTTAATAAACTGTTATGGGCTTCCTTCAGATATAGTGAAACTTAACGAGAAATCTGAAAACATGAATTTGTCCAATGGTGGTGTAACATTTGTCGATACTCATATATATTATTTGAATTTATAGGTGTGCTAATAATTTTTATTTATCTGCAGAATGCTTTTCAAGTGACATACTTTCTGTGGATTTGGGTAAATGATTATCCTTCATTTCATTTGTATTCATACTAAGCATTTCCCTAATTATCATATTTAATGAGTATGATTATTATTTTTTTTTTTTTCTTTCATGCAGTATGAATTTGGTTTAGAGTCTTGCTTCCACGACAACTTTGGACTTATAATCGCGAAA